AGAACCTCAAAAGTATTTGTTTTTTGTTTTATTTTTTTGCGTTATGTTGTGATTTAAATTTGTGAATATTGGTGTTACTAAATTTGTACTTGGAAGTATTTGTATTTATCTTTATGTTCTTCATCTTTATGTTGCCAAGATACTACATTTTATTACGTGCCATCAGATGGTGCAATATCTGTCTTAGTCTTACTTTTAGTGTTGCGTCATCCTCGTTGTTTTATTTATTCTTCTACTTAATGAACAAAATATACTTGAATAAGACGGGCTGGAATGTTCCCCGGCTACAGAAAACAGGAGGGTCGCGTTTGTACGGGCGTCGTTTCGGCTTTTTGTCGGCTTGACTGAAGTGACGCTAAAGGTTTGTTGTGTTTGTTTTTCCATTACTCCTAAATGACAAGAACATGATGAGATCATATCCACTACAACGGCCGTGGCTTATATGTTTGTGTTCTGAATATATCATTATGTAAAGTGTCATTCAAACGGTACCAGTTTGCATCTATAATAAACATTTTAGTCAAATGCTTTGTGAGAGTTGTCAGCTGGGTTTTTAGCTCTTTATTTTTCTCATCTCTTCCCACAAAAGGCCTGGTAACACAGAATGTGCAAGAAATCCACTTTTTCTTCTTCTAATTTGTTTTAGAAGCACATTAAATTCATTTCTCATTAGATTTTTGGTCCGAATGAGCAGTTTGTCATTTGATTTCAGCAAAAGTTGCAGGATGCCACACGCTGGGGTTTTTTTATGCTGTGACTGACGGGCTCAAAGGCTTTGATGCACAACTCTGCAAACCAGTGAGGAACATCGATCCATTCATTTTTCTTATCCGTGAGTAGGTAAAAATAAAGATGAAAATTGTTGAGGCAGGTGAGATCTAAAACCTCTCTTTGAAACTTGAAATTACATATTTTTTTATTTATTGTAGCACCTGTTCCAGCCATGAAAAGCTGCAGGTCATTTCTGCTCCATACACACACGTCTCTCTTCCTAAACCTCCAGTGGGTGGATGTGAACCGCAAAGAGACACCAAATGCATCAAAATGAAAAGTAAAAAAGTACATATTTTCAAAACTTCAGCCCCCTCTTTTTAGAATAAATTAAATCAATCAAATAAAAACAAAGTCTACTGATAAAATTTTGTCTTTTGTAAAACAGACATACAAACCTGATAGGATCAGTTTATATTTCTTTTTTTTTTCTTCTGACAGAATGTCTCGAAATAAGGTTCTAAAAGTTCTGCTTTTCACTGCCAATCATATTGTTCTGATGTTTCAGGATTTAAGAAAGGAAAAAACACAAAGTTAAAGTTTTCACATTTTCTAAAATAACATTGTGAGACAATTTAAATCACATTTTTTTCACCACAAACATAAAGCATAACAATAAAACGTAATGAAAATGACAAGTCGGGGACCTCTAAGGAAAAATATTTCTTTTGAAATGCCTGAAAGTTTAAAAAAAAAAAAAAAAAAATTCCTTTGTAATGCCATAGCATTAAAACAAATAGATTGTTCTTTTCATCTAAAATTTCGGACACTATTGACCCATTCTACAGAACTTCTCTCATTAATCATTAACAGTAACTCAAGGTTTCTATCTGTTTATATGATTTAGTTCTGACCTCCCGTGCTGTTATTCTGCCGCCGCTGTATGCAGAACTTCTGGATTCTGCATTCCCCCCACTCAAAAGAAGTGCCATCCATACTTACACTGAGCCATTTTCAACCCCAGCCCTCATTAGCCATGTTTTGATGTTCTCCAGTGCTCCCCCTCCTCCCACGCTGTCAGTCACATGAAATGTGATGCTATCGACTGGTTTAGAAACCATTTCCCTCACTTATCAAAATGAGACAATGTGTTTATGACTGCCCCCCCCCCCTTTCCTTTTCAGGTGCCTTTGATCCATCCTCTCTGCGTCAGACTCAAATGTTAGATATTCAAATCCAGTTACATTTATTTTTGTTTCCTTTTGAGAAGATGGGCACATCTGACAGACTGACTATTAGGTGTTATTATTTCCCCCCTTTTTTCTCTTTCTTTCAATCGTCACTACTTCATACAGCACATGTAAACTCTGTTTTGATTGAGGAGGTTACCGCCATTGTCATGAAGCTTTGGATGCACGCGAGAATACAAATAGACGACTCTGAAGAAAGCGAGTTGAAAGCGTCGGTTTTTAAAAAAGCAACTCATGTATAAAGAAATCTAATCCTCGCTTGGGTCATTTTCTGTTTCTGATGCCCGGGCTTGTTATCTGAGACTACCTGTCCAACAACTGTTCAGACGAGACAGAAAAAGAAGGGCTGAAACGTCAAGCCTCAGCAGAACGAAGCATGAGCAAAATGTTTCTCCCAGACGTTATCTGAACTGAAGCGTGACACTAAATACTGAAGCTAGAACAAGTGCTCCTGTGCCACAGAGGTTGAATGAATATGTTCTTTTTGTAAGGGGTGCATGGGAATGTTCCCTTTATAGATCTGCCAAATGTTAGATTTATTTTCTTTATTATTATTATTTAGTTATTGTCTTTTTTAAGTAAAACAGAGTGTCCAAATAGCTGGGCCAAGTCGAGAAGAGCTGGAATATGGAAGAAAAAACAAAAAACTGAATGTGATCATATACCAAGAGTGAATCTGGGACTGAGAGGTTCAGGAGGACCTTTTTTCCAATAGTCATAAGCTATTTTAAAGTGACATCTAAGAGTTCCTCTCAAATTCCGATTAGATTATGATTGTTGTAGATTGTTCTATTTCATTTATCTATTTGAGTCATTTATTTACGTATGTATTCTAATATATCATCATTGAAAATAGATCTAATTTTTTAAAACTAATTGACTATTTATATTTCCCCTCCTGGAGGAAGAATAAAGTTGTTGTTGTTTTTTTTCATTTCCATACTATCTTACAATTTCATGAAACTTATCTAAGACAAACCAGTTGCAGGACCTTTAGTAGAGGGAATACATCTTATTCCATCCCAGTGTGATATAAGATTCTGCCTTTCCCGAAAACCTACCTTAGTGTATTTGTCCCTGTTTGGTGAAAAGTCAAACACATGGACTCCACTACTATGAAACCATGCTGTTTTAATAGATACAGAATTGCCTTGCTGATACAAGCAACACCTTGTTTTGAAAAGGGCATCATATGGATGCTCTAAAACATGAAAATGCATCCAGCATTGTTGGTACCTTTTTGGATGTTTCTTTAAAGCTAACTTCTATGGGGATAACTGCATCCCCATACAATCAGAGACGAACACTTTTGAACTGATAACAAGCTGGATCCTCCCTCGATTATTCTTAAACTAGTTCTATCCGAGAGAAGATTGATTTTTTTTTATTTTTAGATAAAGTTAATTCTTAATTCTATGATAAATCTATGATGTCTGGAAGTGTTCCTCCACCCATGCAGTGATTTTCTGGAGAGGGCCTTAAGATCATGGGCATCCAGAACTGGTTTTCAACCACAATCTGAGCGGTTTCCTAATTATTTTACACATATCCAAATCTCTGACCACATGTAAAGCAGATGATTGAATTTTGAGAGACTCTGCCTCTCCCAAGCCCTGTTTTTACACCAAATCACGTTACTGACCTGTTGCCAGTGGATCTATTTAATTACAACCTCCATCCTTTTCAGCTACCCAACTTTTGCTGCCGTTATGATTGAGCCCAAACACTAAAGCTACCATCTCTTCATGCTATCAGCATTCACAATCTGACAAAAATAAACCAATTCATTTAAAACACAAGTTCAAAAATGCACCCAGTTTTAGAGTGGGAGTCAAAAAGTCCTTTCTTTATTGGAGTGAATTCTTTTGGGCATTTGAGAACAGTCCACAAAGTGGCTGCAGCATTGGAATACGGTGGATATTTTCCATCGGCGGAGGGAGACGTCGGGTTGGTGTAAAGGACCGAACGAATTACCGGGCACAAGAGGAACAAACCTGAGTGTTTATTTTGCAGGCCCTGAATTAGACGTCGCCGCCGCTTCCTGTCACCGCCGCAATCTAAACGTGTCGCGGGCATAAGAGGAACCTGCTTGCTCTAACATGATTTAAATGAGCCTCTTGGCTCCGTAAGACAGACTGACAGCACTGTCTTTATCCGCACTTTGTTTTATTTTTGGCTGTTTACTCTGCCTCTCTGCTGTCATCCCTCTCGCTACAGCTCCAAACGGCGCCGGCTCAGATCTTCCCAGATCTGGAGCCAATAAACATCTCTTTTATGTTCTAAGTGCTTTATTTGACAAATGCGGAGAAGGAAAAAAAAAAACTAAAAGAATTCAACAGAGAGCTGACAAGCTTTGCATTGCCCCGTTCCTCAGCCGCAAAGAGCCGAGCAGGAAGGAGTCAAACCTGTAATCATCAGAAAAATATCAGAAAAGCGCACGAAAGAGCAGAGGAAAAATGTTACGCTTCTCTTGTTAAGGGTCAAAGACTCTAATTGCAACTTTATGTACAAATAAATGCGTTTTTATGGAGTAAAGGCTGAATCCTGAACGTGCCGTAACTTTGCTGTAGCGTGGCAGTTAAAGTGCTTTTAAATGTTTTGGTTTGTTTTCTTTTAAAGAAAAATTAGAACAAAGGCGGCATGCACGTTGACCCAGTCTCACCGAAACGCAGCATTTTTTTCAATCTGTAGGGACAAGTGTCCCCGTGCAATAGTCTGAAAATAGTCCACAACGATGCCACCTAGGTGCTCCTCCAGCAAACCGCATGCTTTTAATCTGAGAGAAGAGGACGTTAAAAAGTGTTTAAAGTCATTTATGAAGACGAGTGATGGCTGTTATTCACCGTTTTCTGTTTTAACTTGGAAAAGGACGTTGATATGCAAGGAACTGTTCCATTCACACTTGTTTTTTCAGTTAAATTGACTTACAAATGACTCCACCGAGAGCTAAATGACAGAGTACAAGTAAGAACAGCTTTGAAAAGTGTGGAAATAATGCAGGTTGGGCATTTTCTTTAAAGGGTTTTAGAGGTTTACGGACATGGGGTCATGCAGACACTCTGATGGCCGACTTTTCTTTTTAGTTTTGTTTTGCTTGAAACTGATTCAGGTTCAGCAGCAGTTTTTTTTAAACCTTGTCCTGTTCAGCACAATGGCAGCAGAACTCTCAGATATCTGAGCACCGTGCCATGCTGAACACATTCGCTTTGCCATGGAGGGCTTTGCTGGTGAGAACCCCCCCTCTTAATTACCCCAAACTGCTGTATTTATTCATTTTTGTCGCTGTGGATGTTTTCGATAGCCTCCTCTTGTCTGATTTTAGCTGCGGTGGCAGATCTGGCAGCACTCCAGGCAGAACTCCAGGCACTCGGCGGGCTGGCAGCAGGACTGGAAGAGGGCGGAGGGGCAGTGCGCGTGGCAGCTGAGCTCCTGCAGGCCGGCGTCCGGCAGGCCGGAGCAGCAGCGGGCGCAGGCCCCGCAGCAGGACGGGCACAGGCCCTGCAGGCAGGAGGAGCAGGCCTCCAGCACGCCCAGGACCAGCACAGAGCCCCGGCACCACAGGCACGCCAGCAGCAGGTCTGGTCAGCACCACCGGGGGGGGGGCGGGAGACAGGAGAAAAGGATTCAGCAACACACGCGCATGTGGGTCCACAAAGCCTTCAAAAACTCTTTAAAGAACATGGGAATGTTCCCTTTATATTAGATCTCCCAAATGATAGATTTATTTTCTTTATTAGTATTTAGTTATTGTCTTTTTTAAGTAAAACAGAGTGTCCAAATAGCTGGGCCAAGTCGAGAAGAGCTGGAATATGGAAGAAAAAAACAAAAAACTGAATATGATCATATAACAACAGCCAATCTGGGACTGAGAGGTTCAGGAAGACCTTTTTTCCAATAGCCATAAGCTATTTTAAAGTGACATCTAAGAGTTCTTATCAAATTCCGATTCGATTATGATTGTTGTCGATTTTTCAATTTCATTTATCTATTTAAATCCAGGATTCTGCAACACACATGTGGGTCCACAAAGCCTTCAAAAACTCTTTAAAGAACATGGGAATGTTCCCTTTACAGTAGATCTCCCAAATGATAGATTTATTTTCTTTATTAGTATTTAGTTATTGTCTTTTTTAAGTAAAACAGAGTGTCCAAATAGCTGGGCCAAGTCAACAAGAGCTGGAATATGGAAGAAAAAACAAAAAACTGAATGTGATCATATAACAACAGTGAATCTGGGACTGAGAGGTTCAGGAAGACCTTTTTTCCAATAGCCATAAGCTATTTTAAAGTGACATCTAAGAGTTCTTCTCAAATTCCGATTAGATTATGATTATTGTAGATTGTTCTATTTCATTTATCTATTTAAATCCAGGATTCAGCAACACGCGCGTGGGTCCATAAAGCCTTCAAAAACTCTTTAAAGAACATGGGAATGTTCCCTTTACAGTAGATCTCTCAAATGATAGATTTATTTTCTTTATTAGTATTTAGTTATTGTCTTTTTTAAGTAAAACAGAGTGTCCAAATAGCTGGGCCAAGTCGAGAAGAGCTGGAATATGGAAGAAAAAACAAAAAACTCAGTGTGATCATATAACTACAGTGAATCTGGGACTGAGAGATTCGGGAGGACCTTTTTTCCAATACCCAGAAGTTATTTTAAAGTGACATCTAAGAGTTCTACTCAACTCAAATTCCGATTAGATTATGATTGTTGTAGATTGGTCTATTTCATTTATCTATTCAAATCTAGGATTCAGCAACACACACACATGTGGGTCCACAAAGCCTTCAAAAACTCCCGTCTGGGGCGATCAAAAGCGGGGATCGGCGACTCCATTAACCCCTCCATTAATCTCCCGCGTGTTTGTTTGTGCCGGCTGGGAGTTGAAAGAGGAAGCGCGCTGCCGCCGTGATGGCGTGTGATTGCGTTTGCTTAATCACAGAGCTTTGTTCCAGTCCTCAGGGGAAAAAATAAAGAAAAAGGGCTACGGAGGCTTCCAGCGATGAGCAACCACCGGGAGGAGGCTGTCACGCGATAATTGGGGTGCCGCCCGAATTAGGTGCACGTGAGCGTGCACGCAGTGACCTCGCAGGGGTCTCGGGGTCAGAGAGGGCTGGCTGCATGGCCGTATGGCCGTATGGCCGGCATTTTCCCCCTCAAAAGGACGAATCGGGGCGCCAGCTCATGCTAACGGATGCGATTTCTCCTGTTTACTGGAGGAAGTTTATGAAAAGGAGGCGGCAGAATTCCCTGTGGAGTGGGGTTCGACATATTCCTGCTTTGCTGCTCGAATTATAACAACACCCCCCCCCACCCCCGCCCCACTCCCATTTAAGTTATGCTAATGTGTTGTAGAAAAGCGAACAGTATATGGAGCCACTGTAACTGATTTGATGCTCGCCTTCATGGCGATAACAAGATGAACATTCTGGTAAACAAGAAGTGGCCGATGACATGGGTTGATTAAGCTTTCAGAAGCAGTGGTTGGAAAGTCTTCCAAAACAACTTCATTTGGTATACAGTGATGCAAATGTATCGAAAATATTAGCTATTTTTAATATATATAAAGAGATTAAGGTAAATGTAACTAAACGTCCAATTTCATTCAATCTATCCCAGCTGTCAGATACAATTTTAAGAGATAAAATCATAAATAGACAAAAGAAACAGTATCCTTTTCGGACCATTAGGGAAAAACTGTCATACAGTTCCGATGTTCTTTATACAGACCGACCAGATTCATGTATTAGTTCTAAATCAGACAGGGAAGAAACAAGGTCACCTATAAGTCCCATCATTTGTCAGCCGCAAAAGTGAGAGTAAGCCCACCATAATTAACCATTTGATATCTACACTTAGGGGAAAAAAGGACATTGAGGTATTTCTTTGCATTTATTTAATTTCCTCGGAGCAATGACAACCAGAATCAAGGCTTTTTTCACAAGTAGTTGGATTGGATTACACTTTATGGTAAAAGTATGAAATTTTAAAAAGAAATACCATAACTACTGCTTAATTTAGGCATCACATACTGGAAGTCTTTTTTAGATCTGGTGTAAGTAAACGCACTTCATCTTTTTTCTCCTACGCCCTATGTTAAAGGGGGACTATGATGAGTTTAATCTGGATATGAAAACCTATATCTTGATTTATTTTATAGAATTTCTTTTGAAAATGGACATTTTACAATATAAAACATTAAAAGAAAATCTAAAGATCAGGGCTGTTCAGTATTGCTTTCCACTGCTCAGCAAAAATCTCTATCTACCCAAATGGGACAGTTAATTGTGTCCACTTCACTGCACAGTTCAAAGCCCGGTCCGGTCAGTCTGTGAGTGGGGGCTGCTCCCCCGGGCCTACCGGCGGGTGACGGGGCGCCCTGGTGTGGTCCGGCCGCACCGGCCTTGCTCCTGCTGCTGTGCACGGAGGAGCTGGAGCCCTGCAGCCCGTCCAGACCGGGCTGACCGGGCTGACCGGGCGGCCCAGGGGGCGGTCTCTGGTCAGGGACGGTGAGGCCACATCGCGGGCAGGTGGGTTTCTCTCTGATGACCGCCGCTCCCCCTGAGGCTGCCGCCGGAGGTGCTGCGGCAGGCCCGGGCTGAGCTGAGAAAACCCAACAGAAAATGGAGGATTATTATAGGAGAACAAGTGTGGATGGTCTTAAGTGACAGGGCAATTTATTACATACAGGAACTAGAAGTGGAATCAAGTCTTCCTATAAATTGGGCCCAAGAAAATCTGCCTTCAGAGACACGGATCAAAATCTTTCCAACTCACTGATGTGTCTGCATGCTCGTCGTGTGTGGAGGGTGTGTTCAAATGTTTCAGACTGTGTGGTACTGAATTTTGGCTTTAGATTGCTTTCACCCCTCATCCATTTTCAGTAGAAGGCTACGGAAAATCATAAAATAAAAAGAAAAGACTTTGTTCTTGAGTATTTGCCTGGTTTAAAGGGGTTAGACAAATGAAAAAATGTATTTATGGATAGTCTAACAAGACTTTTTCAAGCTTTTCCTGCTCTCAGATCGATGTGCTTATAGAGAATCTAGTATAAGCATGACAGCGATGTTCTCTGACGACAATCAAGAAAAGCATAGAAACAGATTATGAACATTTCATGAGAAGACTTAATACAAGTACTCTTCCACATCTCACTCAGGTTTTGCTATTGATGTTAATATATTAAAGATTAGATATACACATCTTTGAGTTCTGTACTGGCTATTTCGGGTAAAATTAATTTATTTATAAAAGGAATATTTTTATTAACAGCAGCATGCAGATTTAAACTCAGGGTTGAATTCATTTCCAGCTCAAAACTGGGTTCTCATTTAGCATAGTTTCCTGTCTGATTCCTCGTATTTAGCTAAATGCACCTATTAAGCACAAGTTAAACAGGCAGAAGTCCTTATCCTTACAGCCATTTTCGCTCAATAATTTGCTTCATCAGAATAAAGCTTCTAAAGTCGGTCTACTGTATTGTTTGCTGTGTAGGTCTTTTGGTTTCCACTCACCGCTGATGAAGTCAGGGGGCCTGGTATTTCCTCCTACAGGGTCACACGTTGAGAGGATTTCCTCAGACGATTTTAAAGACTTATTACCTTCAGGGACATCAACTGAAAGTCAATAGCTGTTTTTTTGCAAACAAACACATAAACAAGAAAATCACTTTAATTGAGTGTTTTCCAGATCCAGTTGAGTCTGAAAAGAGAGTACCAAAAAAAAGTTGTTTTTCAGCCTTTTTTGTACATTCTCAAGTGATTTAGAAAAATGATTTGAGTGCTTTATTGGAATTTGGAACAGGATGCCGCCGTAGCCAAAACAGTCACTAGTGCCGACAGAGTGGGGCTGAAGTTAGCTCCATATCAAGGGAGGAAGTCATTCATCTAAACAAAGCTCTGCCCGGACAGCCTGACAGTTAAAGCAGATCCACCAAGTGTTTGCATCTAGATCAGGTTCCAATAAAATCTCTTCAATAAAATCTCCATGCAAACACTTAAAGTTCTATTTTCTGGAGTATTTTGCTTAATGATGCCTTACTGGTCAAGATCGTCTCCATGACAACATAAGATAAAGGACCATTGTGCGTATGAATGTTAAATTTGATAATTTATGTTAAATTGCTTCCAAAATTGTGGGGAGCAATAATGTATTTTCTCTCACTGAAAATATCATCAGAAAAGATATGTGCATTATAAATGTAGAAAATCAATACGAGTCTAATGGTGTGTGTTTATATCCAAGCTTTATCTCAATGCAACATCGATCTTTCATTTTCCAGTGTCACAGTTTGTTGTCAGTCGTTAAACTCCAAACACTGATGTCAAATGAGACCTTTAAAGTGAGAAAATAATAGAATTAAATATATTTTTTTAAAACTTGGGAGCTCTAAACAAACCTTTAGTCTCCCAAGATTATTTAATCGGGTCTCTTTAGACTTTACGACAACAGAAACAGAAAACCTTATCAATAGCAAACATCAGTACCAAAAAAAAGCAAAATTAAGCCTTGAGAGATGGTGGATACTTGCCGTCGGCGGGGTTACTGTGCTTCTCCCTCTCTTCCACAGGTAAACCTTCTTCTGGCAACATGTCGGACACACATGACTGCTCTTTGCTCATTCCAGGGCTTTCTTCATTGTCCTACTTCTGGCTGCACCTCGGGGTCAGGAAATCTCTAACAACACCCATCATGCTGGTATGAGTCACCACTCAGGAGACTGTGAGATGTGCTGTGTGCTTCGTTATTGTTC